GCACACACGGCCATTGAGCAGTGAGGGTTCTTTATCATACAAACGCCTGCCGTGACACAGGACCCCGGTTTTTAAGGTCTCATCAGAAAGACCCGTGACTTTCACTTCTATAGCTGGGCGCTTGGCGAAGAAACAGTCACTATCTATGTTTACGTCTTAGGTTTGACGAGGCGCGGCGAAGGAGAATCGAGACCGGGCCTCCCATGCAATCACAAAGCGAGCACCCTGCCTCTAGGTTACTGGACTGGTCCGGCTGCAGTTGAAGAAGTATGGACTTGCTTTAGCTTCTTCAAATAATACACCGTTCACGGTAGCTCAGTCGGTAGAGCGCTCGCTCCGTGATCGGGAGGTCGTGAGTTCGAATCTCGGCCGTGACAGACCTAAGTCGATAAAAAATAGGTAGCAACTGTTCCTTCGCCATGCGCTCGGCACTTTGAAGTGAAAGTTGCGGGTCCTTCGGATGAGACCTTAAAAACCGAGGCCCCGTGTCACGGCAGGCGTTGGCACGATAAAGATCCCTCACTGCTCAATGGCCCTGAGTGCCGAGTAAAGGTCAAAATTTGAAGCCCTTCACCGGTATATGGTGACGTCTCTATATGAGTGAAAAATTCTCGAATGGGACGTAAAACAATATACAATCAATCAATCAATCAAATAATACATTCAAAACTTTCAAGGGAACCGAGTAAAGTTTAGTGAGAATGTGATTAAGGACATACGCAATGTAGTTTTAACTTTATTGTCTTTTTCCCTGGAGTTGAAGAGTTCCGATACTTAAAGGAAGTGTGTGCTACATTTTAATGTCTATATATGATGTTTTACACTTGTTTTAAAACAAGTTTGGATTAACAAAACATTTAGAATATATGTTTAGTAATTTTTGTAAATTTTTCTTTGAATTATACAAGAATTTTCATCATTTGATATCTTTTCAAAACCCCTGGTAATGCATGCTGATTTTTTTGTCTAAGAACATCTGATGGTACTATAATCTTAAATTAAAAATATCTTGGAAAATTATCAAGGTACGTTGCGTATGTCCTTAAGACCTAAATGTTATGTACGTAAGGTAAAAGTAAATTAAAGAGACAATATGTATATTTAATCTATGTCCACGACTACTCCTACTACTAGGTACACCGATTATAAGTGCCATTACATTTACAATGGCACATCTGGGCTTGAAAGATATCCTAAATTATTTATGTGGTTCTTTCAACCATACGGAAGGTCGTGCCTAGTTTCCTGACCCAATATTCTTCTCGTCGTCTACGAATAGGGTATATAAAGTTGACCTATAGATTGAATGATATACATATATTTTCCAAAATACTAACTCGCATTAAACAAAAATGGTCTTGCGAATTTAAATGTTGATATGTATAAAGATGTTGATTGTCCCTATTATTTATTTGCAATCTACGCCCCGACATTCTCTTACTCAGTGAACCCTTCATAAGAAATTTATTCGCAAACTGAATTCTTTTTTTTAAAACGTAAAAAATATGTGAAAATTGTAAATATTACTCATTCTTCTATATGTGTGCATGTATTTGTGTGTTAATATCCATTCACAGAAGGCCGTAGAGCAGAATAGTGCTTGCGGTAGCTGTGTTATATTCTTTATGTAGAGTATTTTTATTGTTTATAAAATGAAACACAATTGGTTAACAAATAAATTTTAAACAATGTTTTCTGGTTAGTTTACTGGATTCGGTATTTTAAAGAAATCAATGAAGACAAGAGGCCCAAGGGCCTTAACGATCACCAGAGTATATAATACAACAAATAAGAGGATCCATAAAGTATAAAATAAACTGATAGATGAAGCTTTGTTGCCCAAAAGCAAGAGAAATAGGATGATCAGGATCAATAGAATAATTAGTCTAGTATGCAGTAACAACTCATAATATAATTATAATCTACCACCCATTTATCACAATTGCAATGCAGACTATATACAAATTATTAGTTCTTCTGTACTACTTTTAATCCCATACTGTGACATCTCACATTGGGTTCTCTTAGTCTATTGACTTTGAAATACATTATTTACAGTGATTAATTATCAGAAGTGAATGGCAAAGGGGAATATCTTCTCTCAGTAGAAAACAAATATAGCGCTGGTGCTGATGTTAAAAAATCTTGCTTATTTAAACTTTTATTTTGTTTGCCCCTCAGATAATCCTCAGGGATATTCACATATGTCATATGTACAGTCTTCAGATTCCCAGATTTGGTATAAAACCAATAGTTCATACAAAAAATTGAAAGAATGTAAAATTTCAGTTAGAGATATATTTGAAGATTCCTTTTCCGATATCATGTCTTCAACAAAGGAATTCAATACGCCAACAAAGGACGCGGTTAATATAAGTTATATTCTTAATCACGAAAGGGTCCAGTCTTGTATTCCACCATATTTCAAGTTAAAGACTACACCTTGTATTTCCAACAAATGTACATCGACTTTTGCTTCCAAACTTTTTAATTACAAGAAAACTTTACAGGGCCTGGATATTGAATAACTGAAACATAATCCTCCATCGTGTTCATGTTCTTCTTCACCCTATAACTATAGTCCTGCTGGACACGTTATTACTGGTGACATAAATATAGTTAATAATGAGTATCTTAGATCATTAATTTTAAAAGGTCCTTAATATAGGGAACCCCGATCCTTCAACTGGCGTCGGAATTTCATAAATATTATGGATTATGTAGAGGATTACGCCAGGCCATGGGCCAGGCATGAAAAAGAAGACCTCGACACTTTGTCAGAATGGATTAAATGTATCAGATGTATGTTAAAATCGCGAATTAAAAGATTGAGGAGCAATATGAGAACTATCTATCCTTCTGTATTTGATAATCCAGAGGTGAAAAAAGAATTAGATAGATTACATTCAAAGCTCCAGATAAGGTGGCTGCGTATTTGCAGAAATATGTATTAAATTTTTCAAAATACGCATTAAAAAATAAAACAGGGCGTTCCATTACGCATTAGCAATCATAAATAAGCATTACACTACGAAAGTACTGCGTACAACGGATTGAATTTTAACTAATCATGTGAACTGAAGTCAGCTCAGTGTTTGAATTTTTATCAAAAGGAAATTTAGCGTATTCGGAATAATCTAGGCCGATTTCTAGTTCGGGAGAAAGATTTCAATATTAAATGCTCGTACTTTGTCTGAAAATATCACAGATTTCTACTGTTCATATAACATGCAAATTTTCGTTCTTGACGGGTACAGGTCGATATCGTCAGAATTGCGCAAATACACGCATGGTGTTTAATTTATTCTTTATCACTGTTTATTAAACAGTTCTTGTATATTTTTATCATTTTCTGAAGCAATAATACCATCTAAAGTCCGCCGACAACCTTTATTAATTGTATGAAAATAATACTGCTTTTTGCTTTTTACATGCTCCTGTGCTACAATAGCGCCACGCGACTTTTAATGCAAACGGAGAGTAACTTTAAAACCTATACCTCGATCGATGCCAACAATTTATATAGTAAAACCTAATATACATTTTTGATAAAAAACAAAAACAACAACCAAAAAAAAAAAAAGGAAGACAACGGGGCAGGACATTTTGAGAGGGGCAGGTGGGGATGAAAATCTAAAGATTAATTTTATTTGGCCAGAGGAAGGATATTTTCCTCGGTAACTCTTGCTATGATCGATATAGGCCTAATCATAAATAGAGTTCTGTGTGCTCATGGTAGCTTTGCCTACCGTGTGGTCTTTCTGGTGAAAAAAACAAAATGTTTCTCAGTTATGGCTAAAAGCTGACAATTTTTTTTAAATTTCATTAACGTAATTGATAAATGCAGAAACTGTCCTTTTTCTTACATTCCTCTTTCAAAAACACTTCTGTCGATAACAAGCTAAAAATCACATTGGATGTCAAAAGCAATCGTGAAAGATCGTGTAACGTGTAGAATCGTGTGCGTGAAGGATCGTTCGTGTAATGTGATCGTTCGTATATGTTGTCAACAATAATGTTGCAGCCACTGTATGTGCCATGAAAACAACAAATTAAAGCAACAATTACGCACAGATATATATATTAAAAAAAATATTACTCATATGTACAATATATCTAATTAAAACATTGCTGTGACGTCATGCCTTTGTACTTGCAGTCTAAAATTTTACCTGTAGCCATCCAATAATAATAATTAGCAGTCCAATAATATATTATCGGACGGCAGTGATAAAAAAAAATCGGACAGTAGTTAAAAAACAACAACTCGAGTGAAATCAAGGTTTATTATGTCCAGAAACCAAAGAAAAAAAAGTTAGGGAGAAAAAATTAAGGGAAAGCGAACGCGAGGAAATTAAGTTGTTAAAAATAGCAAATCCAAGAAGAAACTTGAGTTTTGACCTTCCTCAAAAGTAACACTTTCCATTCGTTTTTTTTTTTTGTTTTGTTTTGTTTTGTTTTTTTGCAAAGCGTTTTCGATACAGCACTGTGAATAAGCCAATTTAAATCCATTTTTGATAAAGAACCAGTCTGCGAAACTCTTCATTTAACGAGGTTTGTTGCCAATGACTGCACTTTTAAAAAGATTTTCATTATATCATCCAATCAACATTTTAGATAAAATCCGCATTTTTACTTTAAATGCATTTTGAAGATTACTTCCTGCTAAGCCAAACGACTGCCATTGAATGAATGAATGAAACAAAAGAGTTCACTCAATGATTTTACTGTCTAAAGAAAAAAATCTTTCTCTTTTCTTTTGTCTACTTATTAGATGGTTTCAGGTAGAAAACTATTGATGCCTGAACTCTTATTGTGTAATTATCGGACTCCTCCAGGTAACTTTTGGACATTTAAATAGCAATGTTTTAAGTAAGATACATGCCTCATACAATTCTATATGTAAAATTATCAGACTGTTTTCGACCCTAACGGGCCTCAAACAGTCTGATAATTTTACATATAGAACAGTATTCGGCATATATCCATTACCTAGCTCCATTGAACCTCAATTTTCTTCTCAAATTTTATCTCGTAAGTTTTTAAAATATGACAAGCAATATACGTCTGTCGTATCTTGCATCAAAACGAGATTAAGCTACCTAAGGAGTACAGTATTAACAGAGCCCGTAAGATAATTGAATATTGTCAAACAAACAAAAAACTAATTGATAGATATCTTCAAGGTACGAGTAGTTCCATGCTTATCGTCGTTTGATCATCATGATGGTTTCCTTAACATCGGATCCACTAGGAACTGCACCACCCCATGGGTTTGACCACTGGGTCGAGGACCAGGGTCCGTTTAGGAAGGCGTGGTAACAATTTCTGTACCACCACCCTCCTCCGTATGCCACGGCACAGTTTCCCGGGGAGGGGTCGTTATCTTGATCATATGTGGTAAACGGCATCAAATGGACACTGGTTTCCTCTGGTTTGGTGGTGTTATAAAAGCTGTCACCTGATAGGTAATATATATATATATATATATATATATATATATATATATATATATATATATATATATATAACCATGTACAATAGTATCAACGCAGATTAAACCCATGCTTGGGAAATTACTTATGGAACTGATAAAAAGAGGCCATTTCTCTCCTCCTGTGAAATAAATGACAATATTTATTGTAGCCCTATACCCTAGCATTTTTTTTCTCTCGATAATTTCATTATTGATGATCGCTTGATTGTTTTATCTATATCGATCCGTAAAAGATATCTCTGATCGTGGAAAAAAAAACCCATCAGCTGCTCTATATCATGGCACCATTTCATTTTTTTTAAATGTGACCCAAGAACAACGCTAAATAATTTAATTACAGAGAATGTTTGATCATGATTTTACGAAATGTTGTTTCGAATTCTTGTTAATAAATGTGTTTTTATGCATATGCAAAAGTTTTAATATTCTATTTAGGTTCGTTATACAGTATATTGAATGTGTTTGTCCTAGTCTCCGTATTTTGGAAGATAAACTCAATTTGTTCTTTGTATTCCTTTTGAAAAAAAATGTTGACCCCTTTCCGTTTTCCCACCCAACAAATGTGCCAAGATTTAAACTATGGTATATATTTGTGTTTCTCTCAAGATGGAAATAAAAGTGTATACCTAATGTTCCAGTAACTTGTCCAGACAAAATGGCTTGGAACTGCACTGGAGAAACACTGAAGTATTCATACTTCTCATACATCGTGGTGTTATTTTGCAACGTGATAGAGATGTACAGGTACGACGGATTCTTTGTTAATTGGTAGATTACGTCATTTCCTGTTATATTATAAAATATAAACTTCATTCTAGTTCTCAAAAGTTATATTTCTGAAATTCTTGAATTTTCAAAATTCTCTGGTAATGTGAAGTTATTGATATAAAAATACATGCCGATCCAGTATTCTGTTTGTGGCGATCCGAATCCGATTCTGTAGTCGGTCCATGTCCGATTAAAATTTACAGATCCGTCTAGCCGCTTCTGGATTGCCTGTTCACATTAAAATAGATTTAATGTTATATATTGTCTTATATATTGATTACTTTCAGCTAATAAAACATGTCTTTCCTAGGATTTTAATAGAACCTACTGATATGTCATTAGTTACGTTAAAAAAAAAACGCAAAATTATTTTCGCTTGAATTTATATTTTCATCATTAAATGGAACACCTCAATGGCCATACTTATGCATAGATTCAAGATTTTTTCCCACGAGAGGTTCACGCCAACTCCAATAAATTTTGGACTGATAATTTATTGGAGTGCAAAAGAGGAAAACTTTCCTTAACCTGGTAAACTGATTTCAAGGGAAAAGAGGCAAGTATGTTTTCAATTTTCTTCAGATATACGGGTCTACTTACCAAATTCCAAGAGGGTGCGCGTTTCCTGGTATGTCTGTGTAGGGGGGTGGGGTGGGGGTTTCAAGATCTTTTTTTTATTTTACATTATTTTACATAGCGATTAGTAACTCAGAAAACAATATAAACTGTGAGCAGAGCAAACACGGATCTTTAGAAGCAAATTAAAGGTCGGATCAAGTGACATGAAGGCCTAAGCATTCCCTGTCGACCGGCGAGAATACGGAACATTAAGTAAAGCGTGATTAAATTGTTAAAAAGAGGTTTTTGTATAACTAAATCTACATAAATAAAAACAGTATGTTTTTGGATAATGAAACAAAACAAAACTAACGGTCCATCCTCCGTCTGCCGTCACCATGTCGCAGTACACTTCAATGGGTCGATAGTTTGGGTCTGATTTGTTCCAGGGATGAATTGTGTACACACCGGAGGTCTTTTTACCTCTGTCATACAACGACATGCAGTCCATATCCAAAACTACAAGAGTGTAAAGAGCAGTTAATTCCCCTTGCTCACAGAGAGATCTCTTTAACAATCGTCATTAATTCAAACTAGTTGTATTCTAGTTAATAGTTTCTACATATTTATAATAAAAATAAGCTAATCAAGGTTTTGTTAGCATGTATATGACAATAATATACACCGGTAATGGACTGCATCCATTTAAAAGAAAAAAAAAAGGAACTCCTTTGAATGAGAGAAAATGAAAGAAGTTTTATGTTTCTAGCACAAATTCTTCGGTGATAAGTACAAAATCGTACACAAAATGTTACACATATTAAATTGGAAAAATATAGTTGATTCTTATCTTAAAGAGTGTTTTATTTGTTTTTTGTAAGCAGATTAATAATGTAACTACAATCCTGACCCGAATTGTCAGATTTAGTTTGATGAGCCTTAAAAAAAAATGACTAAACCACAACTCCTCTTAAAATAAAGGAACTGTGTCCTCATAAAATAAAGGAATTTTCTGACACCAAGTGTTTGTTTCATCAAAGATACGTATAAAGAATATAATTACATGCAAAAAGCGTACCTGGCGTATAATACCTCCAACCAATCCCATCCTCAGTCATGTCGGCAAGGCTACACGACGGGTAAGTTCGGCACACCTTTGTACCTAACCGGAAGCCAACACAACCACAACCAGACTGACACCTAGTACAACACTCGGTGAGAGAGTTTGACTCATGTTCTGCCATTAAAGAACTGTTAGACACTTTGTTATCGAAGTCCACTTTTACTGTGTAAAGTAGGCCCAAGGTGGAAATTGACAGTAGGAACTGACCCAAAAAGAAAAGTAGGTGCACAATTCCTTTTACCACAAAACTTGTTTTCATTTTTTTTTCAGTTCGATTCGTTTATTAGTGTTTATTCCAAAGTTCTTGAAAAAGAATTTAGGTATTTTCAGAGTCTTCTCCGGAGACAATATTCTGTTATATTCATCAAGGAATGTTTATCACCGTGGAGTTCGTTTACTCGTCCCTAATATTGTTTCGAGATTTTTCAAACAGCCTTTTGAATGTTTGCATGAAACGCTACTAAATGTATAGAACTATATGACACGATTGTATTGGCTAAGCAGCCGAGGGGCGTTTCTAAAACACTCCGTCAAATGCAGTAGAAAAGAACATAGCAGATATCTTTTTTCATTTTTCGATTGTAAACTTTTTTTTTGTTTGTTTTATTCCCGGGAACATAATTTGCATAACCACGGTATATAACAAAGCAGTGATTTGAAAGGTTAAGATTTTGTGAATAAATATATTTCTACCTACCTCCCCCCCAACCCCATATCCCACCGTGTGTCTTACCCTATATTATTCTATTAAAACAATTTAAATCGATTTTGTAATGTTTTGTCCACGCAAAACAGTAAAGTCATAGATTATTGCACTTACGTTCTTTTATCTTTTATACTAAATCTAAATGTACTCTTGAATGCGCAACCAGAATGTATTAAACTTAAAGGACTTATCGCATGTTTCTAAATTATTTGAAATTAAAAGCACAAAACGTTCCTTATGACCACAGAGTATACATTTTGTGTTTTTACTGCGGATAAACCGCGGTAATTAACCAATTATTGTCTCAAATGAAAACCCCTGAATTAAAAATCTAAGTTAATTAGATAGCGATCACGTGACCCTGTGACGTCAAAGGCGACAATGGCTGATCAGCTCTTCACGTAAATCTTACTAAAATATACGCGATACAACCTGAATTTTCTGCGTTATGGACGACCAAATCACTGATTTTATCGATATGAAATTTAATGTCCAACCTTATATTTTAGAATTGTCATCAAGAAATAATCTGAAAAATCCGTTAACATTGTAAAAATAGCAGCGACGATAGCGAGGGAGACGCGGCGAAGATGAAGAAACTCGCCATCACAATACAATTTGATTTGTCATTTTATCACGTGTATTAACTTACTTGAATCACAAATTTAATATTACATAACTTTGTTATTCTTCCTTTTAACATAATATTTATGCAAGTATGCTTTCATATGTATTGTAAAGATATTTTCCGATCACGAAACATTGCTGTAATCAGACCAACAGATTCTAAATGTTTGGAATAAAAAACGAAAATATCTCAAAATTCTTATACCTTAGAACTAGTTAATGTTTCTATAGTAATTGAAAATCACGTTAGGAATTAATTTTTTCAGCATTTTTCATAATTAAGCTGCATTTGTCGTTGATAACGTCGTAAATAGTGTGCACTTTCTCATCTCTCTATCACTGAATTGTCGCCTATGACGTCAGAGCAGTATTTAGCCGAAATTCGACTGAAATATGCATATTGCCGTATTTGAATGTCAACTCTCAATATCTCTTAAAATATGCTTTCAACAACGTTTATTGTATTCAGAATTTTAATAAACAAGGTTGTAGATAATATTTTTCAAAAATTAAGATTTTTGAAAAATCATGCGATAAGTCCTTTAAGGCGCCATAGAGTCAAGTGTTTAAAATACTAGTATCACGTTTTCAATAATCCGTTCTCCATGGAAGAAGTAGCGAAATTTCATGAATAATACATGTATTAGTCTCCCTGAAATAAGTAGAGCCTCTTTTCACATGAGATTAAAGGCAAAAGGTGCTTAAAACAGTATGCAAATCTGCCAATTAACTTTTCAAAATGTGATTGAAAGACGTAGAAAACGTTTTCTAGCCTAGATACATTGAAAAATAAATAAATTTATTTCAAATAGCAAATCAACCGACTGAAAATCTCAATAAAAGGCATTTGAAAGTTGATAGATTTGAAAAATAAATTTTTCATGACGACATTCTATCATCTCGGACTCAATAGTGATTACGGACAGTTTTATGCACATCAATAATGACTAATTGACAAAGATATGATCAGAACTTCTTTCCTTCATGAATTTTGCAAATGCGATTTCAGACTTAGAAGACTCTGAATAACAAATAAATTGTAATCGAAATATAAGTGGACCGTGAGTCTAAGGGTACCTGTTATCGTTACACAATTATTTATAATAGTTTGAATTTCTATTTTGTATTTCTTAGGTTGCTTGAAAGGCAGTAAAGCTATACAACAACAGATCCACTTTAAAATATCAAAGCTTTTTTTCTATCCATATTTTTTATGGAAAAAGAACCCACATTATACAATGTAAAAAAAATGCAGTTTCCTTAATTCTCACAGAGAGCTCTTATTATTCTCAAGAGGTTTGAGTGTTTTTATAAGGACTATCATGACCTAGGCCTATGACTTGATCTCCATCCCTATATTAATTTGTCCGTTCTAGTCCTTCAAAAAAAAAAAAACAGGAAGTCTTAGATTAGCCGGAGAATTTTCTTTTATCATTTGTAATTAATGAAATTTACTTGATTTTATTAAAAAAAAAATACTTTATTATAACAATGAAAAAAGTATTCAAAGTCTGACTTACTGTGATCGAAGCAATTGTCCAATGCAGCAAATAGTGAAACCCTTGGGGAAAGGGGATGGGGTGTTAGTCATATAAATGTATCAATTCACCTATACCCATACCGTAAAATAGTTGGGAAAAATCCCATGAAACATATTATCCCATGAGACATATTTTGTTTTAAATAATAATTCTAGGAATAAACGTGCCTATTCTACAATCTGTTCATCAATAATTTCTCTCATTATGTGATGAATGGACGAGAAACTAGTAACAAAGTACAAAATATAGAGTTCATATCAAGAAAATATTGTATGGTGTTCTTTTAAATGGGCTTTCAATTAAAAAAAACCCCTACGTATACAGAATTAAAAAAACAAAATTAAAACTCTGATTACATGTTCATCAAACGCATTTCTTTTATAATTTTGAAACTTGTTAAATGAAGCCAGGTCAACTCAAATCAGTTACCGA